ATGGTGACAGCATCCGTTTTGAGATACACTACTCCAAGAGGTGTGGGTAATATGTGGTTTGAGTCGATAGGTATTCAATACATGATTGTTGTGTAGAAATGCTCGCAGATATACTGTATATAGATAACACACACACACACACACACACACACATACACACATACCAATGCGCACACACACTTACACAAACACACGTACACACATATACACACAAACACACACATCAAAGTATGCCCACATACAAAAGCCTCAGTAGAATCGAAATGAAACAACACTCCGAATAGAAAAAAATAATAATAAAAAATCTTCCCCCCCCCCCCACTTCAAAAAAAAAAAAAAATCCTACTTCCTATATCTCGACGACTCATCCGAGTGACTCACCTCCACCGAGTCATTCCGCTGAGTCGCTGAGTCGTCTCACTCGAACCACTTGCTGAAGCATTAGTCCGCACCAGCGCCCTCTAACGCCGCCCTCTGTCTCCTCAAAGTCTCCTGTGCCTAACACTGACTTAACACCTAAGATTTTCACGTGTAGAATGTTTTCGTTTGACTTTAAACACTTGATAGGCAAATATGATCTAATATATTGTATTGTTAGTTACAACAGACTTTCTATATGTAAATCATAATAAGGGGAGATATTACCCCGGGTAAATAATGAATCTTTATCGTAGTCTCTATGTGATAAAAATAAAAAATATCCTTGTTATTCGTTCTTTTATTTTCCTAATCAATATTCTCTAAATACAATCATGAACTGGTTGTTCTACCTGTCCACACGCTATAAAACAATCAAATTTTGCTGGGTGCCCAGCCATGTTGGAATCCCCGGCAATGAACAGGCAGATACACTAGCACGCCACGCTGCTATGTCCACATCATACCAACCACGCTTCTCACGTATCCTAGCCACGGATTATTACCCACACTTTAAGACCTTCTTGTATAAACGATGGCAATCATTTTGGTCAAGCCTCCACACTAATAAATTATATTCTGTAAAACTTTCAATCTCCTCCTGGTCAGCTCCATTTCATCGGAACAGACGTTGGGAGACTGCTCTCGCCCGCTTACGCATTGGCCACACCCGTCTAACACACTCCTATCTGATGTCACAATCTGATCCACCCCTATGTTCCTTATGTAATGTTCCCCTTTCAATCGTACACATCCTATTGTCGTGCCCACGTTTTGAAGCAGCCCGTACCTTTGCTTTCCCCCACCTATCCTCCCTTCACCGACCTCCCAACCTATCAGACATCCTTACAGAATCCCACACTTTCTGCATCAACAACCTGTTCTCTTTCCTCAAACGCATACATATCTTTTATCTAATCTAACACCCGACCTTAACCCTTTGACTCACCAATTCCTTTGCCCAGTTTAGACAACTAATCACTAACTCAACCACCTTTCACTAACATTAACTATAGTGCTACATGACCTTAGATGTCTAGCACATTTATCTTGCTTTTAACCATTAACAATTAACAATTAAATACAATCATGTCAGATTCAGAATCGTCCAAAATCTACAGATGATTATGATGTTTATGAATATATGTATATATATATATATATATATATATATATATATATATATATATATATATATATATATATATATATATATGTATATATATATATATATATATATATATATATATAAATTATGTAGACATATACATACACACACACACACACACACACACACACACACACACACACACACACACATATATATATATATATATATATATATATATATATATATATATATATATATATATATATATATATAAATATAATATATATATATATATATATATATATATATATATATATATATATATATAGTATATATACATATATATATATATATATATATATATATATATATATATATATATATATATATATTTATATATATATATATGAATATAAATATATATATATATATATATATATATATATATATATATATATATATATATATATATACATATATATACATACATACACTTACAGTATGTATATGTATATAATATAAATATATATATTATATATATATATATATATATATGTATATATATATATATACATTCATATTCATATACATATATATGCATATATATGCTTATATATATGTATATAATATTTACACACACACACACACACACACACACACACACACACACACACACACACACATATATATATATATATATATATATATATATATATATATATATATATATATATATATATATATATATATATATGTACATATATATATATATATATATACATATATATATACATATATATATATATATATACATATATATATATATATATATATATATATATATATATATATATATGTATGTATACATATGTATATAATATATATATATGCATATATATGTTATATACATATGTATATATATATGTTTTATAATTATATACATATATATGTATACATACATACATGTGTGTG